GGAGCAAACACCAATTATGCCGGGTAGTCAGATGTTGTGAGGAGGAGGTGGAAGAACACTTTCTTTACACATTCATACAGATACAGACTTTTTACACATTGCAGCGGGTCTTTTTTTATTGTTTTTTAATCGGAGTCAGATTCAGGAGAGGCTACCGGAACTTGCAGGGTCAACTTCTCTTGTTCCATCCTTTGTTTTTTGCCCGCTGGCTTCTTGAAAAACATGACCAAGGTGGTCTGTTTCTCTTTCTTCTTTAACACCTGTCGGAAATGACGGACAAAGGTGTCATCGTAGAGATCATTGATCCTGTTGGCCTCAGCTCTGTTTGGATAATGAGTGTTGGTAAACTCCTGAACCTCTCCCCATTCGACAAGAAAGTTTTTGTCAACTTTCACTCCTGATGATTTCTTGCTTTGTTTCAATTGAAATCACCTTTCTGTTTTTTTAGAAGCCATGATGCATTATAAATGACTTAACTTGCCAGATTATATGATACGAATAATTCTTTATTAATTAAGATCACTAAACACTTCTACGAGCTACTCTCGCTCCGTTTGTTTTTTACAACCTCTTTTCGTCCCGCCACCTCGGCATCTACACAATTACATTTCGTTTATTTGAATCGTCAACATATATTACATTACATTTAATGTTTATTTAAATCATCAACATATATTACATTACATTTCTACTTCAGATATACTAATAATACATTCTAATAATACTAATATATCCTAAAAATAGCAGATTGTCATTGGCAACGGCAAAAGAGTGGAAACATCATTCGCACTTGTTCGAAGAAAGTCCATTGTTCGTCTCACGTAACTGCCGAACGGAAAGTCCGTTGTTCGCAGCAAGTCCGTTGCTCGAGTCACGTAACGGTCAAACAGAAAGTCCGTTATTCGCAGCGTCCGTTATTCGAGGCGTACGTTATACGAGGCACCACTGTATATTTTTTGTTTGGAATATAATTTTAAAATGTATAGTAACATATATTTATATATATAATAATTATAAATGGTACATATTCTTTGTTCTAGAGATGATTTTAAACTGTACATGTACTTCATTCCAAACACGATTTTAAATGGAACTTGTGAGTTGTTCATGTAATGTTTTCAATTTTAATGTAGTTGTTTTGTTCTGTGATATGTGCATGATGATGTCTAGTTTAAATGGATGAAAACATTTGTTTTTTTTCTTTTTTAGAGTAGAGAATCGCACCTAAATGCAAAATTTCCAGCAAAGAAACATTTAATTTTCAATGTTCGAACATTTTCGGACACTATTTTATTGGCCCTCTTCAGGAAATGAAAAATGGAAAAACTGTTCTGTAAATAGAATGTTCGAATAATGGAAATACTATTTAGACTCATAAAATATACATTATATACAAAACGTCACAGCCTTTATTCAAACTTGTCTGAAACTTTAAAAAATTAGAAGGCAGCTACATTCTATTTATAGAATGGTTTTTCCATTTTACATTTCCTGAAAAGGGCCGATAAAATAATAGCCGAAAATGTTTGAACATTGAAAATTAAATTTTTCTTTGCTCGAAATTTTGCATTTAGGTTCGATTCTCTACTCTACATGTACAGTTCCAGTTTTCTAGTAAAGTTGTTTATTTTTTTTTTACTCTTTCTGCCCTGTGGGCACTAAGAGGGCTTCTTTTAGGAAACCCATTGTGGGTTTGGTCAGGCCCACAATGGGGCGGCTGGGTGGTGAGGGATGGGGCCGACATACCCAGTATGATCACATCCTGAAACATTCCTGGGGATTTTTTGACTTGTTCGAATTTGATTCTAGGTCCCCAGAGCATTAGGCTACCACCTTGAACACTTAGTAAATGAAAACTTTAGTAAATATTTCTTTATTTATTAATTTCATATTTGCTGGTGTTGGTTTGTTGCAGATAATTATTCATTATTCAGCCAAAAACCCTATTGAGTTTATCCCTAATTATAACAGATTTTTCTGCACAGACCTCTAGGAATCATAGGGTCTTGACACATTTTCTCTCTCTCCTGTAAACAGTCATGATTGCTTGGAAAGCATCAGCACTAAAATTGGGTAGAAATGCAAAAATTTTAGTCCAAGAAACAGGAAAAAGTCACACAAAGCAGAAATTTTAATCCAGGAAATGGGAAAAAGTCACAAGGTGCCATATTGGGTGAATACAGAACCTGTGAAACTGTATTTGTTGAATTTTTAGCCAAAAAATTCACAAACAACAAGAATATTGTGAGCAGGTGCATTATTGTGGTGCAAAATCCACAATTTTTCTTGCCATAAATCAGGTCATTTTCTACGAATTACTTCATGCAAATGAAAAATACTCAAGTAATAATCTTTGTTGAGTTTGGCCAGTCAGAATGAATTAGTGATGCAAATACCACAACAATTGAAAAAGACGGTCAACATGATTTTGATTTTTGATTCACTTTGCATGGTGTTTCGGTCTTTTCTTAACTTTTAAGTACCATTCACTTGATTGTTGAGCTGTTTCATTGTCAAAAGAATAGATCCATGTTTCATCACCTGTAATGATGCATTTTAAGAACAATTCACTTGGAGAAAGCATTTCCTAGGCCACTTGAACATGTTGTTTTGGAAAAAATTTAATGTTTTCAGGATGAATCAAGAAGCGTCACATCACAAGCACAAATGATCTTTTAAAATTGTTTGATAAGATCCAAATGATACTGGAACATGTTCAATAATGTCCATAATTGTTAAATGATGATTATTGCAAACCAAATCTCTGACTCAAGCAATGTATTGTTCATCAGTTGAAGTGGATGGTTCACCAGAGCATAGTTCATTGTTGACATGTTCTCTGCCTTCTTGGAACATCTTATAACACTTGAAAACTATTGTTTTTGATATACTATTGTCATCAAAGGCTTTGCGACATTTTCAACATTTTTGTTGCATAATTCTGTTGCAAAAGCAAAATTTAATGTTTGTTCTTTGCTCAATTACACTCTACGTTTTGAAAAATTGCTGGCACAAAGATTCTTTACACACAAAACAAGTGTTTATTTGCAAATGAAAACAGATGATGACATACGGATTGCTGCTAGATGTCAATGGAAGTCATAAGAAACAATAAAAAAATTATGATAGTGCTCTCTTGCATGTGTGCAGTTTAAATGAACCATTTCCAATACTTTTTGATCACAGTAGTATGTTGGACAATATTGTCTGCTTTAACATTTTAGAATTTAATGAATTTTGAATGGTTTTTAAATCAACGGAATTTTAAATTTTTTGTGTTTTTTTGCCCCTGATGTGAGCCTCAGAAGCTGATCATGGTTTAATATTATTGTCATTCTTATATATACAGTTGAACCTATCTATCTTAAAGTTTATTTTGAAATTTATTTTCTCTCCTGCATTTTCAGACTAAATTCAATATATTTTTCACATTTATCTCAAATAATTTTCTCCCAACACCTTTATATTTCAAATTATGAACTGAAGTGCCAATTAAACTTCAAAGCTTATTGATTACAGAATGTAGTCAATAAGTTTTGAAGCTATTTTTATAGCATAAATTGTAGTTGAGAAACATTTCTTACAATACATGATGTAGTTGCAATTAATACTGCTTTTCTCTGATTGTCCTCTACTTTGGTTTCTGTCTTATTGTTCAAAGAAAGTTGGGCTATCATAAACCATTGACAAACTATTTCTGTTAAGGTATGTCAAAAACTTTTATTTATACCTAATACAGGTGTGTACCCTACTTGTTATTGTATTAATAACATACATGCCTCCAATCAAATCTATTACCGTTTACTGTATACCTCTGTATCTTGAAACCTGTCTATCTTGAATTGTTTTGTCACTCCTGTGAGATTTGATATAGACAGATTCAACTATACTATTATTTCATTTAATTTAAACATAGCTTTTCATATTTAATGACTGGATTTGGTCCCTACACATTGACTCTCCCAGAGACCTGGGGCCGTATTCTGGTCACCGTCTCTCGTCTCTCACAAGTTGGTCGCTGATTGGCTCATCATTTGGATTAACCAATCAGCGATTGGCTTACGAGAGACCAGAGACAGTGAGCAGAATATGGCCCTTGGAGTGTTTAGAGATATTTACACATTTATTATTATATATAACTTTTATGTAGTTATTTATACATTAATATAAAAATGGTTTTATATTAAGTTTCTCCATTAAAGTATTTTGAAATATATGAATATTTGAATATGGTATAATTTTGATCTGAAGACGGAGATACTATATCTCAAGCATTTCTTTCTGTTTAAAAATCATTAGACTTCTAAACACAGGATTATATGACTACTAGATGTAAAATTTACATATTTAAAATATTCAGATCTTATTTGATATTACTTTTATTCTAATTTTACTGTATTATTATTCATTAATACAATTCTTATATTTTATTCTATTTATTCAAAACTATAAAATGTTTGCATTTACAATTTCAAATTTTAATGATATTTAATGTGAAAACATATATAAAAATATGTTTTAAGGAGAAAGAAATAGTAACATAACCATTATGCAATAACCATTTGAATAAAAAGATGACCGTGTACAAAGCGACTGGTACTCTTGACAATCTTTTAAGCAGCAAAACAGTATTTAATAACAAATAATTTATTAGTTAATAACCATTTTATTTATAGATAAATAGAAGGAAACAATACACACAGCAACATTTCAGTTTTGATAAATGCAAATGTAACATGTTATTAGGCTATTTTTCCATTATATTACAACAATAAAATTAACTGAATAATTGATATTGGCTTTATTTATGTATGAACAGCAATATTAGATTATAGATTTTTGTAATTGTTGGATCTATTTATGATTCTTTTACAATAATATATTCTACTAAATATAATATCTACATAAGTATTTGTATACTTTTTTTATGAACTTTGAATAAATATTTTCTCTTTCAACAAATCTTTATTAATTTCAAAATCATATTTCAATCATTTCAGGTCTTGCTTCGATGACCGTTCCAATGTATATAGGAGAAGTGGCCCCGTTGGAAATTCGTGGAAAATTAATTACCGTCAATAACTGTTTTATTACTGGTGGTCAGTTTGCTGCCAGCCTCATCGATGGTTTCTTTAGTAAAGATAAAATCAATGGATGGAGGTAATTTAAAATTGTTTTTAATAAAGTTTTATGAGTCTTTTGTAAATATGAGAGAAGTTCAAAAGGTTTCCAGATGTAAATAAAAAGACAGAAAATTGAATTTATCACTTTATTTTTTAACATGAGTTCCTTTTAAGTTAAAACATTTTTCTATACAGTGTTGCTATCCTTCTAAGCTCTTCTGGTAGAAATAGGTTTTCTTTGATTCTAGCTACTGCACTACAAAACATTTTACTTGAACTATCAACTTTTAGTGAATGCCTAGCAGTTGATAGTGCAAGTGAATAAAATGTCTGATGAGACTAAATGCAAATACCTAATAAAACAAATCCAAACAAGTTTATGCTAGCATCAATTAATTATAAATACAGCATTCTGTTTATGAATAATAATCACTTTCTGGAAACTTTTTGAACTCCCCACCTATGTTATATTCACAAAAGTATAATTCAAAATATTTTTTAATACAAATACAATTTTTAAAAAAATTGTATTCTTTTTTAATATTCTTTATATTCTTCGTAAAGAAAAGAATAAAAAAAACCTCAATTCAGCGGCACTGTTTGTTTGTTCCTAATTGGAACTAAATTGAGTGCGGCACTAAACAAGAACATTAAACAATAAGAATTATAAATATACATAAATATTTATCAAGCACAATATTAATATATAAATACCTAATTATTGCATTTTTTAGGCTATCCTTAAGCTAGTAACTAATTAAACAGATTAAATAATTTGACCTAAAGTTAGTTAGTTATGACACTATCTTGTATTAGTTTAATATTTAGAAATAAATTAGAAGTTTCTGGAAAAAAGACCAATCTGAAGTGAGGCTTATCCTGTGTCATCCATATGCTCTGTTGATGTATGCTATACTGATTATGAGGTCAATCTATTTTTCCAGTTTATATAGTTGTAAATAAAATTTAAAATGTTTTTTTGACTAATTTAAAAGTCACTACGTTCAATAAGAAAATGTAATGTAAAAATGGAGTACATTGTAGCATTAATACATCCAAATTTAGTTTATTTAATAATATATCAACCATTCTGTGTTATCTGAGTTTTTGATTATCTAATGTACTGGTTGGAAATCCACATTAATAATTCACAAATACAATTAATTCAACAAATGGATTATTGAGAATCTATTGTATTAAAAATTATAGTATACATTCTCATTTGATATAAATAACCAAGAAATATTATAAAAGTAACTGTACATATCTAATTTACTACAGAGTAATGACAGTTATTAGAATTCCTATTATAGTTGAAACAGACCACAATTGTTTCAAATGTTTTAAATAGTAGGTTGATATATAGGCATTTTTTTTCAAGCTCCGAAGGTCAATAAACAAAAGACAAGTGTAAATAAAATGAATTTATTACCAAAAGTTAGGTACGAACATGGTTACTTTTCGACATAATCACCATGAAGATTGAGGCATTTGTCATATCTATGGATGAGCTTTTCCATCCCCTCTTCATAGAATGTTATCACCAATGACTTGAGATGGGTCCTAATGTTGTTTTGAAGATCGTTATTAGTCTTGTACGTCTGCCCTCCTAGCCACTTTTTCTGTTCAGGAAAGAGGTGGAAATTGCTTGGCGCTAAATTGGATTTATATGCTGGGTGTTTAAAGGTGGTGAAGACTTTCACCTTTCAGATTTCCAGACTCAGCTTGGAACTTTTTAATGTGTGAAGACTTCCACCTTGTCCTTGTCTTTTGTTTATTGACCATCGGATCTTGGAAAAAAAAACTGCCCTCGTAATTTAAAATATTAGAAAATAAGTTTGATAAAACATTAAATTAAATTTCTTAGTTTTTCTAATTTATAACAACAAAAATCTAGGACAGAAATGTACTTAAAAGTATATTTAATTTGAAGACAAACTCATATAATTTGGAAGTGTTGTAACAATTTTAGTTTTAGGTAAGGAAGAATGTGTCATTTAATTGTGGTGTTTTTTGTAGTATGAGAACATACTATAAAGGTCCAAATTAGTTTTCTTTCTCTCTTTACATTAAACTTTATATAAATATATTGGCAAATTAAACTTATACACCAAGTTAAAACTCCATTTGAATTACTGAGAAATATGCTGGAATATTTTAAATTGTTGTTTAGTGTTGCCCCTCTTTTCTCAAACTTTTGAACTAGATTGAATTTGTTTAATTCCTTCTTGTTCTCTTGCTATATCCTTTAGTTATAACTTTAAATTCGCTGGAGTAATTGACTATTTTGTAAAGTACTATATTATTTTTCCGACTTTCCAACGATTATCGACACTACTGTGTGCCGGAAATAGCCGTTCCCTAACGGGTACTTTACGCGGATTCGCGTTAGTGTGCCAGGCCTGGACTTTAAGCGTGCACCGAATTAAATAATGACAAAGTTTGTCAATAACAAAATCAAATATTTAATTAAACTTCTA